CCGCGCGATTGCAGCGGATGCGGCGGGAGCTGAACAACCGCAGGAAAATCCTGGTGAAAAACCTGCCCCAAGACAGCAACTGCCAGGTTCGGGGAGCGAGCGTTGGGGCAGGGTTCGGGAGGAGAGCTGTCCTCGAGGTGTCCAGACTGGGGTCGGACGCCTTAAAGAGGTCGGCGGGAGAGGGACTGTTGCAGTGATGAGAACGACCCCTGGGTTTTGCAAAGGCATCTGCGTTTCTGAACATGCGACCACCTTTCCAGGGAGGGTAGCAGATTAGGAAACTGAGGTTCGAAAAGGCGAAACGGTGTGTCCATGGTGGTGAGAATCAGGGGCGCTCTTTCCTCCCCCTACTGTCTGAAAGGAGGAGGTGGGGTGGTGGGTAAAAGAAAGAGGGGTGAGCCGTGGAGCACAGATTGGTGTGTGTGGGGGGCGAGTTTTCGGGAGCATCTTGACAGGGGCGGAACATCCCGCGTGGGTTCCTCGGGACGCGGGGGTGCCACTGGGGGGTTGGGGGGGCGGGGTCACGGGAGAAGCGGAATGAGTTTTACTGTTGTAAAAAGTACTTGATTAAGTTTGTATGAAACTACTCTTGTCAATTTGCTAAGGCCCGGGAAAAGACTTCACTGGACTTCGGGGAGTCATGCTAAGGAGTGGAGTATTTTGCTCCTCAGTGACTGATGAGGCTGAAAGTTAGGCTGTTCTCTGAGCCACATTAACTGTTGCTTTCAGATTAGACACTCTGCATCTTGCTTTTTTACCTTTTTGAAAAGTTACATACTCATTGTAGGAAAGCTAGAAAATACAGAGATACACAAATGGGAAAAAGAGAAATTGCCCATATTCCTGAAACCCAAAGATAAAAATCACTAGATATGTATTCTTGTTTTTTCTGTCCATAGACATACATACATTTTTTTGTTTTACTGAAAAATAGGATGATTTCTTTGATTTTTTAGGTTGCTTAATTGTCTAATGTTTACATATATTTCACATATAACATGAATTTATATAACATGTGTGGATGGGGAAAGTGGGCTGTTCTCAAGAGAGAATGATGAAATGCGAGAATAGTTGTATATGTGTGCATTTATGCATGTTTTCTGGTAGATTTGGGCCAATTCATCGAATTCTTGTAACCAGCTTCATGAAATTGCAAAAGAACTGTTGACAGTTTCATGGTAGTTCCTCCAGGTTGGTGTTGGGTGGTGTCAAGTCCATTTTCCACTCATAGTGGCCTCTGTGACTGCATAGAACTACCCCATTGTAGTCTTTCTACACTGGGTGGGTTGTAATCACCAACCTTTTGGTTAGCAGTCCAGTGCTTAATTGTTGTACCATTAGAACTCCTACTTCTCCCATATGACCCATAAAATTATGAGTTCAATGCCTCATTACTATGTTGTTGTTGTGAAATGCTATCCAGGCAGGTCTGACTCTTAGCAACTGTCTGTACAACAGAATGAAACACTGTCCGCTCCTGAGTCAGCCTCACAATTGTTGTTTGTGTTTGAGCCCATTGTTGTTGTCACTGTGTCAAGCCGTTGAGGGTCTTCCTTGTTTTCATTGATCCTCCACTTTACCAAACATGATGTCGTTTTCCAAATACTGGTCCTTCCTGACAACATGTTTAAAGGATGAGAGACAAAGTGCAGTCGTCTTGGCGTCTAAGGAGCAATCTGGATATACTATGTAATCAGACCTTACTTACTCCAGTAAACCCACAGCTGTCTAGTTGATTCCAGCTCACAGTGATTCTAGAGGACAGAGTAGAACTGTTCTTCCTGGTTTCTGAGACTAAATCTCAAAAAGAATAGACAGTCTCATCTTTCTCCCTTCAACCGTGCAGTTAGCAGCCCAATGCTTAACCCACAGCACCACCAGGACTCATTAGACCTTACGGAGCTGCTAATAATAAATATGACCATGTAACTGTATAAACTGGAATGTGGCACTGCAGGTTAATGTGCTACACTGCAAAGTTGGGAGGCACTTCAAGCCCACCAGTCATTCCTAGGAAACTCTATCTAGGGTTGCTATGAGTTGAAACTGGCTTCATGGCACTTAACAACAGCAATAACAACCCTATAAAGTATATATTGTTGTTGTTAAGTGCCATCGAATGGGTTCCAACCCATAGCGACCCTGTATAGGGCTTCCAAGGAGCAGCTGGTGAGCTTGAACTACCGACCTTGCAGTTCAAATGGCTTTGCAGTCTAGCACTTTAACCCACAGCGCCACACCAGGACTCCATAAAGTATATGTAGGAGGGTGCATTTTATTTCAAACTGCAATGTAAAAAATTCTGTCTACCTTATTTATCCCATCCATCTTTCACTCCTCTCCATCATTGTCCACTTTCTATGGTCAGTATTTTGTCCAGTTGTTGTCATTTTTGTTTTGTTTATGTTCTCCATAAGGACTAATTAATTAACTGATTTCTTGAAAGCAACTTTTCCTGACTCTGCAAATAAAAGACATCAAGAGAGTAGGGGGAAGGAGGCTAGGAAGAAGCATGGTGGTGGTTTGGTTGGTGGCTGTGTGCCGTGGAGTCGGTTCCGACTCCTAGCGACCCTGTACAGGGTTTCCGAGGCTGTAAATCTTTACCGGAGCGGAAAGCCTCATCTTTCTCCCGTGGAACAGCTGGTAGTTTCGAACTGGTGAAGTTAGCAGCCCGATTCATAACCACTACGTTTCTAGAGCCCCTAGGCATATGGCATTAAAAAAAACAAAAACAAAATTAAAGAAGTAGCAACTCTGTGTATAGCTAATCTAGAAGAGAGGTGGGGACGTGTCTTGATTTTGTTTGTAGAATGCCAAGTAGTTTTAATGCATTTCTTTGCATCAATTAAAAAAATATTTAGATCCAAAATTCTAGACACTGTTTATTCTTCCTTTGCTGTTGGTACATTTCTCATTTCCCTTCTCACAAGATTATATATGAGAGGGCTACAAAAAGTTCTTGGAAAGATTCCATGATCTTTTAATTCCATTTTCCATTAAATTAAAAACAAAACTCTTTAATGTAAATTAAGTGAACGTTTGCAGAGCAAATCATGAGCTTTACATTAAAAAAAACCAAATCATACACTTCGTTGTGTCTGAATGACTGCAGTCCTTTCAATGGCACATCACTTACTCTACTTTCTCTCTGTGTTTCTTCCTTCTGTTTCTCTTCTTTCCCATTCCTTCTGAACTTTGTCTCTGGGTAAGTGCTACCCTGAACTCGAATGATTGATCATTCTATGGTGTGCACACCTTACTAATGTTGTTGCCTTCCCTATATACATGTCTATTGCTTGGCTGAAAATTATGCCAATATTCACTCACTGGGGTGAGTCCAGTTCCAGACTTGAAGGGTGGTCAATAGCCAGAGTGTTGGGGTTCCACCAGTCTCTGTCTGACCAATAAGTCTGTTGGTTTGTTTTTCAATGATATTGAGGTTTGTTCCACATTTCCCCATTCTATCTAGGAACTTCTAATGTGAGCCCTTTCATTTCCATGAACTTTTTGAGCTCGTGTCTGTGTGTGTCTAAAACAAGCGGACCAATTAAAGGAACTGTTTTAATTACTTGGTAGTAGTGATGGAGAGGGAGTCCTGTTGTGTCTGTAGGATAAGCATGCAACCTCAAGGTCAGTTTGAACCACAAGGTCGGTGGTTCAAAGTCACCAGCCTCTCCTTGAAAACCCTATACAGGGTCATTATGAGCTGCAGCTGACTCGACAGCACTTCACAACAACAGTGACGGAGAGAGACTTTATGGAAACTACACAGGGTTTGCATTTGGGGGTGTTTTATTTTTTAATATAAATCTTTAAGATTTCCTAGAAAATTGTTGTTGTTGTTAAGTGAAGTCGAATTGGTTCTGACTCATATCAGCCTTGTATAGGGTTTCTGAGGAGCAGTTGATGAGTTTGAAGCAATGACCTTGTGACTAGTAATTCAGTGCTTTTCCTGCAGTACCAAAGCAGGCCCTTACTATAAAGTTGTTGCTAAGTGCCGTCGAGTTGGTTCTGACTCATAGTGACCCTGTTTAGGGTTTCCGAGAAACAGCTGGGGGTTTTCTGAGAAGCACCTGGTGGGTTTGAACCGCCGACCTTGTGGTTCAAACTGGCTTTATGGTCCAGTGTATTTTCCTGCAGCACCACAGTAATAAGCATAAATTATGAAATAAAATTGGTGTAAATTCTGTATCTACATGAGTCTTGACTGCCAAGTGAAGTATCATACATTCTATAGCAGGTTACATGCTTTTGGATGACTAAAAATTATCACCTTAAAAGAAAAAAGTTAGCAACTAGAGACTTGTTTCCAGACTTGTCCTAGCATTTACTTTTTTCTATTGTTTTTAATATGGCAAGCCTATCTTTTTAAAATGCAAAGACTAGGCTTAGTCTTTGTAACTCCCACCAAACACCTCTTTTCCTGATGGGTCTGAGTAATAGAAGGTGAGAGAAGATACTGATAGGATGATATGATTCAGTTGTGAATGAGTGTTAACAGAGTTAATTTCATACAAACTTGATCAAGTACTTTTGCTCACTACCATCAAAGAAGAGCATGGAATAGAGCATATCCTTTGGACCCCCAGATCTCTGTGCATTGAGCTTCCTGAACCTAGTGTTAGAAAGCTGTGACATTGTAGAAGTGGCAGAGGAACAACAGCCACAGAACCAAGAGCCAGAGCAGGAGACTGAGTGATGGGCTTCCCAGCACATGGAGCAAATAAAGCTGAGTGACTTGGGGTAGGAGGCTTGTTTGCAGAGTGTGGGGCCTCCAGGCATTTAATTGGAAGAGCAAGGTCTGCTGACCATTGGATGTAAATATAAAGCCAAGTTCCTTCAGACGGAGGCTTAGGTGGAGTGGTGTGTCCTGCTGGCATTTATCAGCAGCCCTAAAAGAGCTTTGTAACTTTGGCCTGGCAGAGAAGAGGCCTGCCTTTGGGCACAGCTGAGGAGAGGCTGTCTGATTGCCCAATGGTGTCCTGAGCATTCTGACACTTTATTGTGATCTGTTGTTAACTTCCCTAGCCAACCTCATAACCGTGAGTATGATGTCTGTGTGGTCATTGATTGATCCCAGATGAGA